GTGACCTGTGTTCCTTGGAATTCCATCGCAAAATGTATTCTTATAAGTTTTCCGATATGAACTAGTGTTCTTTATCTGATCAAAATGCCATCAAAGTGTTCTTTTGATCAACTACCCAGGTCCGAAAAAACGGTTAACGTCTAGTTAACGGCACAAAAAACGGCGCGTTCAGTCAAGCGATAAGTGGATCAGCAGGATGAACGCTACTTTTATATTTGTATGGAAGTGTCCAAATTAGAAAAGAAAAAAGATACAGTAGTGACCAAATAAAAAAGCTCCATGTATTTGTATGAGATGATCCGAATATCGCAGTCTGGCGGCTGGAATCCTTGCGGATAAAAAAAATGTGGATAATTTTCATACGAGGTAAAATCGCGTTGGTTGTTGTGACTCTGGTAACATTTTGAAGGACTTGACATAGAATTCAAATCTCTTCGATGTCGGCATGTTTATCCGATTCCTTGTCGATCCTGAAAGTCCTATCTTTCTAGTTATAGCGGATCAAAACCTGATGATTTCTAATGCAAGGAAAGAGAGAAATTTTGGTTAGATAGGAGAGAAATGACGAATCTTGTGGTAAGTGCTGTTTTGCTAAGTTGTCGTTAACTGAATAGGAAATTCCTTTGAAAAAATTTAAAATTCTCGTTGGAACAGAGAAGTTCCGGAATTGCGAGAATTCGGACATCCCTCTGCGCTATAGATGCAGAACATCGAGATGAACGTGCGTTTTGTAAATTTGAAGGTTATCAGAGTGTAGGAAAATATAGGTAGTCGATTGCACTTTTCATCCACACTTTTCCACTTCCAAAAACGCACTAATTAGTACATGGATTTTCTTTACCAATTTTCTAAACAAGGAAAACTCTTAGATAAAAGATGTATTCATCATTAAATTGGTCATTAGCCAAAATATGTATGACGGTATTCGAATCTGAAAAATGTTGCATAATTTTAGCAGCTTATTACGTTTTATTAATTGATTAGAATATTTATAAACCACAATAAACGTTTCGAATCTACCGATTCATCAGCAGTATAGATAAGCAAACGGCAAGTTAGTGTGAAACGAAAATATTTTCGGCAACTTGAAAAATCGATTTTGGAGCTGTCCGAAAAACGTGTCAAAAAGGGTAAAGACGAGCACGCGAAAAATTGAATAAGTATACCAGTCTGTAGAAAATAGTTTGCTCTACAAGATGTGATAGCTTTTTAAGTTCGAAACTATTAATCTGTATTAATCAAAGAAAAATCAGAAAAACCGTGACTCTGTGACAGGTGTCTTATTATCTTATTACATTATCGTTTTTATAAGAAAAATATTACAAAAAGATTTTATAGAAAAAAAACTGGATGAGGTAACTAATTTAAGGGTACCCCTGCCCTCTTTTTGGGCCTTCCGTAGAAATGCTGTGAAATAAAAACTAAAACTCACTAAGGCTTCATATTTTCAGAACTGATTGGAAACTCAATGGAGCACTTTTTCGTTTTGTTTCAAGCTTTTAACTATTGCCGTTCACCAGTTTTCCAGAAAAAGAGAGAAAAGTTTATGAAACCAAAACATTGAGTTGTTTTAGACTTTGAAGGAAAAACTTCAGAAATGTATAATTTTTTGTAAAAAGGTCGTGGTGTGCTGGTAGTGGTCTCATTTTGTAGCCCACACTCACCTCTACATTAGGGTATGCTCAGCTCAAAATCCAAAATTTTTTCAAAAATGAGAGGATTACCCTTAATAATCTTTAAAACAATGTAATATTCTCCTGATCCGTCTCATCGATAGATGCTATAGAAGTCCTGCTTAACCGAAAAAGGAATATTTAGAATGTGATTCTAGTTCGCGGAAGCATCATGTCGCATGACTCAACATATGTTTAAGAACTTATTATAATTGTAAATGATCAAAACTTGATTATACAATTTTAAAATTAAAAATTGTTTTCTCTTATAATACGTACGACATAAAAATCTCATGAAATCAGGCATGCAATCGCTTTATAACAACTTAGTGTATACTTGATTTTCAGTTCGTTGATATCGGTTTACATTAGAAGTAGACAAGAATGGTCGTTGTCCTGACGTTCTAGTGCATCTACTAATAAATTTATGAAATTCTAGGGAATAGATAATCGACTATGAGGAATCCCAAAATGAGTATGAGAGACCTCTAGGACGCATTCTATTGATCAGAAACCTACTTTAGACTTGACTGAATGAAAATGAAAGAGAATAGAAACTCGACTATGCAGGGTCCGAAAATAGCAATGAATAGTGTGTTTGTGAGATCCCGGAATCCGACAGGACGTTTCCAACCAATAGAATACCTTCTAGATGTCGCTCATACTCATTTTTGGATTCCTCATAGTCGATAACCTATTCCCTAGAATTTCATAAATTTATTAGTAGATGCACTAGAACGTCAGGACAACGACCATCCTAGTCTACTTCTAATGTAAACCGATATCAACGAACTAAAAATCAAGTATACACTAAGTTGTTATAAAGCGGTTATTTACGATTACGGTTAATGGTTAATAACCGTAACCGTTGCATGTCTACATACAATTAGCATTCTTTCATTTCCTAACAAGAATGAACGGGGGGGTATTCTCGTTTAGTCGACAGATCGAGCACTTCAAAGAATTTCAAGGCGAGAAAGCCGGTGTGAGAGTGAGTTGTCATCGAAACAAGAATACTCCGAATGAACAAACGAGAAGAGACAAAGAGGTATTTAGAACTTTTTAGAATTAGTAGTGGTTGGGAGAATCGTTTTTTCTATTTCAGCTGATATAATTTTAAGATAAAGATTAAAACTTAAATCAAAAACAAACCGCAAAAATCGTAATAAAAGAATATAGATTGCAGGATAACATCAAGTCATTGTGCAGATTATAGGACAGAGCAGTGAAGTCGGTTTTTGCAGTTCGTCTGCAAAGATTCATGTGTTTGATCCTAGCTTTGTGCAAGGATTGATTTTGTGTTTTGGTAATTTAAGTTTCCGAACGATATAATATAAATTTATATTTTCGATTTCGTTTTGGTTCAAGATTAAAGCTTAAACCAAACCAACTTTAGGACAATAGTTTCGCCCCGCTTATTGAGACGTTTATAACTGAGGCGAATTTCCTAAAATCTTCTCTCTCCTTTCCAGAATCATTCAAAATATCACTTATGCATAGAGCAAACTGTTCTCATTATTATGAGACGTCTTACAAAATTGTTCAATTATTTTTCACAGAGATACCAGCGTCGCGCGGCAAATGCTTCTGTCTAATATTAACTACGATGGTCAACAAACTGATAGTGCCAATTTGTGCACAGTGGGTATATAGGCGGACACTTGGTCGAACATCGAAAGTGAGCTTTTCTGTGATTTAAATAGTATCGAATATATGGTGTTAAATGCGCTATCGAATAGCGAAAAAAATTTTATTCTGTGACTTTTTCTTATGGAATTATTCGAGAAAGAAAACCCGGTGATATCTGGAAAACAGACGTGTGCAGTATAATCAAAACGCGCGAGTTAGCGGAGGTGCAATCTTGCTTATTTTTCCACCAAAATGTTCCTTAATATATCCTGTATCCTTACGCAGTCAGAAAATAGATTTCTCATTTCTCATTATTATATGGACACTTGGTAGAGGACTACATATTAATCTTTTTTCAAAATCTAAGATAGCTAGTGATCTTTAATTTTGCTTGATCATATGTCTCAATGAATGCTGGTCATCCAGCAAGTTGTGTTCCATTTATAGCATGCACTTGATGGCAGCTAAATACAGTCATTGTACGATCAAGGATCACTTCTAACATTTCAGATTCTTTGCAAAAAAATCCATAGGTCTAGGAATATGATTTTCACTACAAAATCCTGTCAAAGTTCTTGTAGTACCTCTAGATTATTATACAATGTTTGAAGGTTAACCATAGTATATAATAAACTCCTGAATAATAATTTAAAAAATGTACAACTCACCCACAACATCCCTGATGGTAGGTAATTTCGGGGTACAATATGGATCATTAAAGAGCTTGCAGAACTTGCTGGATGATCAGCATTGTCACTAAAACAGTCAGAGCAATGATTAATATTTAAGCTTCGTAGCTAACTTTACTAATAAATGCTCGCTCACTCCCAAACCGTTATGTCAAGTCGTGATAGAATCCTGTGCAAAACTATGAAATAGTTTGTTTTAAACGTTTTCCGCTCGTTCGTAATAATTAGAACAAATTCAGAATGGGATTTTAATATCTCGAATAGCTTTTAACTCGGAGTGATGTGTATGCATTTCATGAAAATTTGTGGATCTCGAATTCCTAGAAAGATAGAACGCAAGGAAACTAATTCTTTGCATTAAGGAATCGACTGCAGTTGATGTGTTACAGAGAGCCGGGAGATGGCTTATTTTCCTCAGAATTATTTGTTCTATCAGGCTATATGGTTTGCAAAATTTTCTGACCAAAAATCAAGGGCTTGGTTTTTCAGCGATCCAGTTTTCCAGAAAGCCTATTAGCAACTTTCCTCATGCAAGGTCCATATGCACCTCATCTAATAAAAAAATCTTCGGGCTATTCAAAATAGTATTCAGATTGGTTCCAGCGTTTACTGAAAAATCAAAAACAAACGAGTTCTTCTCATTAAGACACGCTGCACTGTATAGATATCACCCAAACGCTTCTTTTCCATATCTTTAATTACTAGCTCCACCTGTCTGGATATTCTGACCAGCTCACTTTGTAGAGAATTTCAAGGACTATCGAATGGTATGTTTTTGAAAAATACATCATTTTTCTTTATGCCAGAAAAATGACTAGAGACGTGGTTAAAGCACTAAGATAGGTGAACTTGATGATATTTGTCAAAGAGGCACGAAAAATTTTATTTTTTTGTTCGAATTTTACTTTCCCACAGAAGGGAAAGAAAGAAAACATAAACACGTGCATAAGGCACAAAATAAAGAATATGTAGGATCATGGACTAGGCTGAAGATTATATAACGTTGGACTATATTATATATCCTAAAGTAAAATACAATAGTTCCAAGCAAATGTCACCTACGGGAAAAATCTAGATACATTTCGTCTGTAATCGGGCGATACACGACTAGTTGCCATCTAGATTACTAGTTGGAAAAGGGACTTTTAACTAGATGCGTCTGTAGGTGCATCTAGTAATAGTTAAATCGATCGATTATCGGACGTTAAATCGGACGTTTAGTTCGTTGCTTCTTAAAAGCTTGATCAAGCGGCTAGCAAAACCCAAATCACCCAATTACTAGATTTCCACTGTCGTTACACAGTAGTTGCAATCGAGTAAAAATCTAGTAATCTAGATGAATCAGGCGACACTAGATTTTTTTTTTGACGCTTGGGCAGTTCATAGTTCCTTGTACTGCAGTGTCTCTATAACAGGAACTGTTTTTCAGTTTCCGTTCTGAACTAGGAACGGTTCAGCAGTTCACGTTTCTAGAAACGAGAAAGGGTTCATCAGTTCCAGTTCCTGCGAATGAGAACTACAATTCCTTTTGAATTGGAAACTGTTCAGTGTCCTTTAGTGATTTGTTGACATATTACGTATTTCATTTCGCAAAACTAAGACTTTGAAAGAGTGAGTACTGAAAAGAGATATGCTCAAAGCGACTCTCAGATTATGTGGTAGACTTTGTCGATTGAATTTAGTTCGTTGCTTCTTAAAAGCTTGATCAACCGGCTAGCAATACCAGCTACAAGTGTAGCTAGAGAAAGTACATTTTCGTAAGCTAATGATTTTACAAGGAAAGATTGACAATCACTAACTTCAGTAACAACGAGAATGTCTATGTTTTTGAAAGACAAAGTATGAATGTTGATAGTTTTGACTATTTTGATTGTTAGTATCTTTGTGAAATTTTGCTCAGAAACAAGCACGTAAAGGAACGACATCAGATAAACCGTGGTATTCATATTGGACCGTGATATACACTAACATGCTAAAGGAGATAGAACGCTAGTAGATTAGAAAAAGAAGCTCAAGTATATCATACAGTTTCCAGTTAAAAAAGAACTGTAGCTCCCGTTTGCAGGAACTGGAACTGGTGAACCGTTCCTCGTTTCTAGAAACATGATGCTGAACCATTCCTAGTTCAGAACGGAAACTGAAAAACAGTTCCCGTTCAAAGAACGAGAACCGCGAACTGGCACAGATCTAGCCTTGATATCATTCTCCATGATTTTCGACACACACGATATAACAACATATCAGCACACTCAGAAACACAAAAATATCGCCATTTCAACATTTATTAACACATCTTCCATTTTTTGCGTTCTATTTACGTAGAAATACGTAGAAAATGATACTTTAACAATTTAAAAACGACTTCATTGATTGGAATGTGAAGGATGAAAACCATATCTAAGAGGATCATATATAGTCGTCGAATTAAGATACATGACCAAAATTAGTTAATTGTTCTCAAGCTAGTAAATGTAAATAAAGTGTACCAGTAAACTTTTGATTTAGACTAAAACTAAATATTTGTCAACGAGAAACATTTATTTTTCTATCCAAAATCCTCTTTTAAAGATGATCATTTTTTTTGACATTTTTAGCGATTCAAAATCCAGTTGGATGGATGTTATTGATAAAATAATGGATAGTAAAGATATAGTTCTTAACTGGTATAAAGATTCAAATTTAAAATCTCTTTTGTTAAATCGTCAATTATTATTAAAAAAATATGGCATATGGGGTTGTCTTTCAGCAGCAATTGTGACATGTAAATTAGCAAAGTATGTACAAATATCTCATTCTTTCTATTTGTCGTGGATGATTCTTCAACGATCTATTTTCTTTAGATACCATACTCATACAAATTGTGATCAACATATTCAAACGTGTATATTATCTTCTTATTTTTTACGTTCAATATTTTTCTATACATTACCTCATTCAGAATATGATTACGATTATTCAACATTATTCATTGATAATCAAACACAATTATGGCCTGGTATACAGTTGACGAGTGATGAGTATGTTCAATAACAACAACAATTGATAGAAAAACTAAAGTTTTCTAATATATCTTTTATTTTTTAGATTTCGTTTAAATCCTCGAGTATTAATGGATACATTAGTCTATATCAGCGAAACATTAATTCGAAACGATCTTAATCTACTAGTAAGATGTGTTTTGTGTTAGGTCTCAGCATGTGTGAATGGAAGAAGGGAGACTACCATTACCGGTGTAGAGTGCTGACAAGTGTCAGTTTCTATAGCCCGATATCTTCCCTGCAGTTAACAAGCTTCTGACATGGTCACCCATCTCGATACTAGCCATCAAACTGCAGCTCTTATCAGAAATCTAGTCTGATGCAGAGTTCTTTTACCCAATTACTTGCGCTTCTCATACACACTCACTAACCACGTACCAGCGTTTCGAAAAGCCACGAAGACTAATCGGAGGAACTGTATTGTACTCTACAATGTAGAGAATATACTATCGGACGGATGATCTGAGACATTATGACATAACTAACTTGCTCAAGTTTATTACACGACTTGAGGGTGCCGAAGTTCGAACACAGTATCTTTGAAGTACGTAACAAACAACATAACTACCCAGCCATGCTGTCTATGTGTGAATGAATGTCCCCTTTAAAAATTGTCTTTGTTTTATAGGCATTACCCGTTATTGTATTCTATGATGTATTCACATTTCATTGTCGCGATTTATTTCATACAATTCAATCTCGTTTACTACGTTTAAGATCTTTGATAGAATTAGATTTATTTAAAGAAGCATCATTGTTAATATTTATGTTAACTGATGGCAGTAAATTACCGAGTGTAAAGATGAACGGATATAGATTGAATACTGCGGATCACCATCGATCAAAAGAAAAAGTATTAGACTGACATCAAATAATACGATGTAGCAATGAAAATATTTCTATTTTTAGTACAATTTATTTGATATATCAAAAAATATTTTATCAGAGTATAATCTTGGTGTAAGTTATAGAAATATCGTAAAATAGTTCATCAATTTATTCATATTCATATAATAATAGAATTATATAGATGTTTCTGTTAAGGTATTAGAAACATTGTTGACTATTCGTCTATCTAATTCAATGTCAAGTTTATTTGGTGCTCATTTGACAATCGAATTTCATTATTTATTATCATTATATTTCATTCGATTAGCTGCTAGAATACCTGTTATTGCCAATTTAGAATATTTCAAGTGAGTATAATTAAAGATATTCAAAATTTATATATACGACTTTTGTTCACTAATAATTTCTAGATCAAGCGAATTAAAACAAATATTAACAACTGTATCAGATTCAAGATATAAAGCACATTCAATGATGTCCATAACACGTAAGCTATTCTATTCATTTTTATATGTGTTTCAACACTTTCACTTACCAATTAATAATTCCTTTAGCATTTATAAAAAATAAAAATACACTAAACCCAGTTAATCAAAAGACAGAATTTGATAAGCCAACTATGAAATCTAAAAATTATGCTTGACCGAAATGTTTGCTATTCTTTTTAAAGCGCAAAGCGTAGAGGCCTGCGGGACCAAACTGTTTTGATCCCGGTCCCGTGAATATTTTTCCAAAGTAGCGCTGATAGTTTGAAAGTCAGCGCGTTGTAATGGGGCTCATGGAACAACATGCATGGGTGGTATTTAATTGAAGACTTTTAGAATTTTCTATGAGTTCTTTCTTGCAGAACTGGTGTCTACATACAAACAAGCACAGAAACTAAGAAATTATTATGCTCCATACAAGACTATTTTCAAAAAATCCTGGTCCCGGTCGCATTAAAAGTTCTGCGGAACCGGGACCATCTCGCAGATCTCTAGGTCCTGGTCCCGTGAAACGTCCCGCGAGACCGAGATGGGACCGAGACGGGACTGAGACTGGGACGGTCCCGCAGTCCTCTAGCTAGCAGAACTCTTGTAGCTCATTTGTTTTGTCTTACGTTGGCTGATGTGTGATAGATGAGATGATGCGTATGGTGATAGGGTAGATGTGCGCAACAGATGATATTGCATGAAATCTCTCTTTTTGAAAAATTTCGATACATCTTTTGTTCTTTTATAAAAAGAATACAAATCAATAACTGGCATAATAAACTTTCAAAAAGGGATCCGCACATGGTAAAGTTTTTAGATATTATTATTGAGGATTACATGAACTTTTAAAGAAAATCTGGTATTCGACAAGCGAGATGGTGGAGAGACATTAATCAATGTTTTTAGTATTTTTTTTAATTTGAAAAACGAAAACACAAATTTTTTACTGTAGATATGATGTTTTTGCCAATGTTTCTAAGATATTATTGAGAATGAGCAATTTATTACACATTCGCTATTAAGCGCTAGTGTGTTTGAAATTAAGTATAGTAACTAATATAGATGCATACAAAGTGAAAATAATAGCACCCGTAAAATAATTCTTTTTATAGAGTTTAGATTAAAAATAGGATTATTTAGTAGAGTGTCTCTACATTTGTCTATGTCAGTATAATGCCTCTCGGTACCGACTACTTCTTTAAATTCAGTCCAGTGATCAATTACACACACAAACTTTTCCTTCTAAATGATTTAAGTCTTAGCCTACTACTGTTATATTATTCACGAAGAATCCTTGTGCATTATAATTTTCCCATATTGTTTACAGGATAATTCAATTAATTTTCTGAGACGAGCCAGTTCCCCGTTGATTGTTCTCACGCTATGGGTTACCATCGTTGCCCAGCAACGTTTGTCTCTGAAAATATAATCTTAATATTGGAAGTGTTTTGCTTGTTTCAGTATTTCATCTCCTAATCTAATAAAATATCATTCGAATGGTCTTGACGGATTATCAACAGAAAGAAAAAAACAGAATCCTATCTTTCTTCGCTACATATTCACTTATAATAAAAATTTTAATAATAAGCTTTCGTTGAAATCTGTCAATCTGGAATAGTGATATGATTACTTTTTCATATATCTGAATTTCAAATCATGAGTAACATCTTGTAAACATTTCTCTGCTAGTGTTTGAATTATCATTAGAAAAAAGGTCTAAATGGAATATTTAAACTGGATTAGCACTGTTCATCTCTACAGGACATGTTATGGTAGCATCTTCTTTATGTTCAACTGATTTCGGATGAAAAAGCTGGTCAGCGTAGCTCCTATCGAAGCTGAAACGTATAACTCCTCCGATGGTAAAGATAGTAGTATACGTATTATGTTAACTTTTACGAGTTTTATCTGTAGTTAAGGGAGAGAAAATGTTTCGAAAAAATTTTCGCAAAATCATTAACGATTTGAGTATATAACTGGAACTCCTCTTGAAATTGGTAGGTGGAGGAATTACGTACGAAAAAGATAAGTTTTGACAGATGACTGTCGATTGAACATACTTTAGTGCATAGACGGTGTTCATGTGTTATATACACTACGGAATTTTTACAACATTCGCACTGGCTTATTTGTATCCTCGTTATTCTTTTTCTTTTCTCAAAAAGAAGTTTTTTGATTATTGAAAAATATGTTTAATTTAATTAACATTCTTTTATTTATTTTTTTCATTTATAGAATCATCTCTGTCGACAAAAACGAAGTCAATATTTCCTGAAAATATTTCATACGAAGAGATTAAATCTTATCTAATTGGTGTATCAAAATTGTATTGTGAAAAAGCTCTTCTCGTTTTACAACATACCGATGAATATAATCGTGATTATCCAAGTAATTTAAATTCATTTGAATATCAATTGTGTATTGATAGTTTGGCAATGTTAGCTGAATGTGCACATCAATGTCATTTGGATCAATTGGCAGCGAGATATAGTTTAGAAGTATTAAAAGTAATGCAATTAATTGGTGAAGATAATGTTGATGAAAGAAAAGTGGCCAATGGGTAAGAAATTTTAAATAAAAGATTTTATAAATAAAAAAACAAAATTTCATTTTTTCAGTAAGACAAAACGTAAATCGACGTATCCTCGTTTGAGTGCAGTATCACGATATCCACGAAAGAAATTAAATGCAATTGACATTCTATTTGATACACGTTCATCTCAAAATTTAAATGTTCACTTGTGGTTAAAATGTCGTTCATCTCTGTGTCATTATATTTTACAACAAATCAATACTCTAGGTAAAGTAAAAGGAGTAGATGAATTAATTAAAGAAGATATGGCCAATGTATCGACGTATATTGAACATGGTATCGAAGAATCAAACGAATATCAATCGAATGAAATGTTAGCAACATTTCTCTTGTACAAATGTTTACAAAATCTTAGTGAATTAGTGAATTTAGATGAAAATAAAAAACGTTTAAAAACAATTATTGATCTACTCGAATCAGTTGGATCAAAACAAAATACAATATCAATAAATTTATTAGAAAAATTAACATTAACAAAATTATTGTTATTAGAACATAATTGTGTAGATAATTTTGAACAAACAGTAACAAGTTTAAAAACAAAAGATGATACATTACAATGGAATCTATTGGATATGGTATGTTAAATTTGAATCATTTGATTTAAATATTTAAGGGTAGTTTATTTTTATTTTATCTTTTTTTTAGATAATTCAATTGCGTGAGAGGATTCAAACGAACAATAATCATCGTGATTCATTAGCAACTTTAATTCAACCACTTCAAAATATTTATTCATCATTATTACTCTTTTATATCTATTCTAAATTACGTACAGCTTGTATTTTGATAGATCATGTCTATCGAAGAATAAGTAGTTATGAGACAGATGTATTAAATGAAAATATTTCAAATGATCTATATGAATGTGAGAAATTATTTCGTCAATGTCTTCTACTTAATCGATCTATATGTGAACGTTATGTATCAATTGAAACTGAATGTCTTCTACATTTATCACGTATTCATCGATTATTAAAACGACCATTAAAAGAAATTGTTTATCAACTTGTAGATGCAATACGTTTAACATATTTAAATTCACATGATATTGAATTTATTCAAACATGTTATTTTGAATTAGCACTAACATTTATTGAACATAGTAAATTAAGTTTATTATCAGTAACAAAACAAGTTTCAGCACCAGTTCTACGTACGACTTCTAAACAGGATCGTCGTGAAAGTGGCGATGTAACGATTGTTGGTGGCGTTAGTGATGATAGTCAAACATCTGAATCAAAAACGCCTGAACCACGTACACCAAAATCACGACAAGCACTTGCATCAAGACAATCGTCGATTAAAATGAATACTAGCGAAACAACAAGAAAATTACAATTAAAATCAGTTGCTATTATGGCTATAAGATCAGCAACACTAATGGCCATATGTAGAAAACAAAGGTATGTAAATAATCTTTTACGTAAAATAAAACAAAACAAAATTCAGGCAACAGTTATTTGTTTCTTACTTCATTGTCAACAGTATTGTACATCTTACCTTCGTCATATTTTTTACATATCTTCGGCTATCAGAATTAGTCAAACAAAATAAAAATCTCATAAAACAAGAGAAGCACGAGATTTTGATCATTTTTCCGCTTCCAGTCAACTAGAATATGCGTACGCATCAATGACAGAATTTTTTTTTAGAGTACAATTACCTGGATTAGCTGAAGAATTTCCATCGTCACATGAACAGTTATGGCCAACATTTTTAGCTGGCGATATCATTGGTTATTTTGTATTTCCGGATAGAAAACGAGTATATAAAAGTAAGAGGGTTTTAAATTATGCACAAGTAGCTCATTTTTCTGGTTAATAACTATAATAATATAACTGACTGTATGTTTTTAGTCAATTTTTCGCCATTCGTCTGCACATGGTCCTAAATATTGGATGGGGGAGGGGTCTATCTCGCTTAAGGATAGTCCCCTCATTTTGTGCTTTCCGTAGAAATGCTGTAAAATAAAAAATAAAACTCACTAAGATTTCATAGTTTTAGAACTGACTGGAAACTCAATGGAACACTTTTTCGTTTTTGTTTCAAGCTTCTAACTATGGCCGTTCATCAGTTTTCCAGAAAACTCGGTTTTTCATTGTGTCACATTACGATCAC